AACAAACAAACACAGAGACAGACAGACAGACGGACAGTCAGACAGAGAGACAGACAGACAGACAGACAGATTCAGTGACAGGATGCAGGACGTAGCTCAACAGCGAGGGACGAAGGCGTAGGCGTGGGTAGACGCGGGGTAGACGCTGCCAGGGCCAGGTCACAATTTGCTGTCTGGCTGAGTGCATTGCTCCGCTCGAGTCGTTGCCAGAGCAGCGGGCAGCAGGAGGCAGCTCTGTCATTGGGGAGCAAGTATAAATATTCTTCAGCGCACACAAGTCAATTAGTTTAAAGCAGAAAGGAATTCCAAGCGTATCACAATATCCAGTTTTCCTCATATCCATTTGCCTATATAAACAACTATATAAATATATATATTTAAGCAGCGAGAGCTGACAAACTGTTTGCATCGCTGATTGCTCATCGAAAGGCAGCTCAAAGGCAGCTCAGCTAGCTATACTATAAAATTAAGTTCCGATTGCAATTGCTGAAAATAGATATCCGAAATATCTGGGCATGTTTCGAGGGGAATTCGAAATTTTGAAAGTTTGACAAATTTTTTAAAAATATTTAATTGAAGTCTGAATATATAGAAATCTTAAATAAAATTTATTTTTAATACTAAGAAATATTTTTATAAGTTCTTTAACACATTTTGTAACTAAAATTTATTAATTTTCATAGTTTCAAAAATATAAAAATTTGTTCAAAATTTATTTTCTAGAGTTTGAAAATTTATTTTCTCTTCTTTTACCTTCACAAAATATATTTTAAATTGTATTTGAGTGGATGGAGCTGAACAAAAAATTTTATATTCTACATGAATCGTAAATATTAAAAAACATTATAATAATAATAATTTTTGAAAAGCTTGCTTAAATTGGATTTAAATTGTTGTTGTAGCATTTAACAGAATTTCCGCGATTTCATGGAAATGTGGAAAACTACAACCTGGGCTGAGGGGGCCTTAAACATACGCGTTTCATATCTAAATGGGCATCGGTAAAATTTAAACTCCAGCAAATGGCTGCAGTGAGAGACTAAAACAATAATTGGAAACGACAAAATGAAACCATATCGAAAATGGTTTCATTTCAAAAATAAATTATCAGATTTGACACAATAATAATTATAATGCGATGGGTGTAGAAACCACACACGTGGGCACACACCCACGCACAACCAAACATACGCCCGCATAGCAAATCGCAATTGCATTAAATTTGTGGTCGTTATGCATATGTATCACCTTTTACATATCAGCGCAAATTATCCATAAACGTTTGCAATAAAACACAAAGTGATAAATATTAAATTACATTCTTATCATATCGAATTGCAATTAAATTATAATTATAAGCTACATTTTGCACTGACTAGAAGCAGACTAAGCTGTAAGCTTTTAGTTTTATTCACTCTATGCGTAGTTCTAATAGGTAGTACACAGCAACGACGGGCCTAGAAAGTTTTGGTGCTTTTCAGTGAAATCTAGAACTTTTCGTTTAGCTTCTAAGTGGACTCAAAATCAGATTTGTTTCGTTCATCATTGCTGTTAAGCTTCAGTTACTTGAGTAGTTATTTTTTCTTGACTCCGGGTATCACCTAGTCGTGCACTCCCGCCCACTGTTATTTTTTATGTTTTGTTCACGCGCAAGTAATTGAAATATTTTTTTAATATTCATTTATTAAAGTCATTTGATGCTATTAAATGTGACAGCTGTAAAGTGTTGGCAATTGTCCAAACTCATAATGAGCCAAATAAATATTGAAATCATAAATAAAGAGCGAATTAAAACAAATAAAACAAAGCTGTTAATGTGTCGTCGTTCAGTTTGTTTAATTTTGCAGTAAATTAAAATCGGAAAGACACAAAAAAAAAAGAAACATTTAATTAAACAATTTCATAATTTGTTGACAGAGTTTTGCTATGTCAAAGGGAACTTGAAATTATTGTTTTTTTTTGCTTCCTTTCATAAACTTCAAAATTAATTGATATTTGAATATTATTCACAGTTAATTATGTATTCGAGCCGAAATTGGTTTCAATTTAAGAGCGGCATAAAATAGCTGTGCTGTGCCAAGTCTTTGCATGAAAGTTTGAGTAAAAAAAGGATTAAAACTAATTAAAATTTAGATGCAAACTTAGTCGGGAAGCCATTAGAAATCGATCAAGATTTGACTAAGTTATGAGAGCTTAAACCAAAGAAAGTTTGGAACTTTGAGGTCTGCATTGGAACTTTACCTCTTTGCATAACTTGAATTTTATTGATAGAATTTTTTTATTGTAATTGAAATGATTTTTTTATATATAAAATAATCTGAAAAAAAAAGACTTAATTTAGGGAATTAAGGAAATGACTTTGCCTTGTATTTTATTTTAGTCTAACGATTTCCCCTTGTGCTTTGGCAACTACAGGCATCAAGCTACCATAGTTATGCCCTGCTAATTTGATCAGAAATGGGCAGCTATAAGAAAAGCTATACAACAATTAAGCTTCACTGCAGCCCGAGCGCAGCCGCTGCGTCGACTGTGCGGTCAGCAGAGCGCGTATCATCGTTTGGCATCGCAACTCATTGTTACTTTATGAATAACTCATATGCCGTTCATCACACCTTAGCTAAGTGCGTGCGTCTGCAACGAGACCAGATTAAGACGCTGTGCCTTAATCCATTGCCATCCGATTGCACGCAGAGCTGGGCATTAGGTCGGCTTGGTTTATAATGCGTAAGTGCATGTCCTCAAACCTCAATAATTATCTAAGCACATTGATATAACTGTTTATTTGTGTGCTTATCCGGCAACTGTTGCGACCAGAGCCATCGATTGCTGGGCAATTTTAGCCAGGCCTCAGCACACCTCTGCCTTAGTGATTATATGTATTTTCAGTTGACCTCACAATTTGCACGCAATTTGCAAAGCCGACATATTCAACATTCGTCATATGTATTTCAATTATTAATTGAGGCACTGGCACACACACACACACACACACACACAGTGACAGAGATAGACACATAGTCATGCATGTGTTCTTATGGGATATTTGCCTAGGCAACAAAATTGGCTTTGCTCGAGCAGAGCTTGAGAAACTAACAGAGTTTGGCAGGCCGTGCAAGTGGAGAGCAGGGTTGTCAAGTGTTTGCGAAAGCCAAACTTAAGCTCTAAGCACTTGACATTTCACGCTTCATGGCAATGTCAATCGAGTCCACAAATTCCCAATGCCCACGATGACTATTTACTTATTTTTGGTTTCGGTCTGGGACTTGGGACTCTGAACAGATTCTTGATTAAACATTTGTGTTATGATATAAATACCTCTCTATATCTATGTGTGTGTGTGTGTGTATGTGCTTAGTGTAGGTGTACTTACATTTCGCTTTGATTGCTATTTACCGCCTGACTGCATCCTTTTAGCCCTGCAGTTTTGATCCTTTAATAGAATATTTAATTTTAATTACAAACATTTGATTTCCCACTTCAACCAGCGCTGTCACCGACGCTACTCTCTATCAAGAGAGATAGAGTGAGAGGCAGCGAGACTTAGGGGGAGAGGGACAGCATGTGACTTTAAAAATGCATGACATATGTCGCTCTCGCCATATACAGAATTTGCGCTGAATGGCAGGCGAATTGAATGCGTGTCTGGCTGAATGCAGGCATAAGCCCAGCCCGCCCAAGCTGTGGAACTAAGCGCGACGTCGAGACGACAGGAGCAAGTACTATATATGCTTTTGTTAATGCCCAGACTGGAGCGCTGACAGCGTCTTGAGTCCTTCCAACGAGGGTCTCCTTACAGCGCTGAGAGGGCACGCACTACGCAGACAGCATTTAAAGCAATTTCCTATTATAATTCGCAATTGGTTTACGGTTGGGATACAATTTAAGGTGCCGCCTAGCTGGATGATGTGCCTATCGGTATGCATATATTGGTACTGGATAGATATGTGTATTGATATGTGTCTATCGATAACCAGTGAGAATGCTCACAGTTACGTATATCTCACGACAATTTCTACATATCTATGCCTATCGATATACGTTCAGCGACAACCAGCAAAGCCTTGAATCGTTCTCTGTCAAAAAATATTCACAAAGTTTTCAAATATAGGCCATTCAACTGATTCTAATTATCGATAAATTCATATTTTCCTACTTTTATTTACTTATCGACTGGTATTTGTAAAAATTCACCTATCGAACTATGCAGATCAAGGCAATAATTAAAGAATTATTGGCTGGAGAGAACTGCTTTCTAATAATGTATGCCTATCGATATCTAAATTTAGATTCATGACCAAGTATAATGATTGCGTATCGATAATTCAATATTATGTGTAGTTATCGATGCGTGTATATCGATAACTTTATGCAAGCTCAAAATGTGTCCTTATCGATAATTATTTGCACGTTGTAGAGAATGTATAAAGGATGTTCCAGTATCGATAACAGATATTTAATTCGATGTGTGTACACAGTATCAGTATGTATTTATAAAAAGCTATCGATAAATGGATAGATAAGTATCAATATCTATTTAGACATAGATATCGATAATGCATATTGATATCTATCGATTTAAGTCAATCGATAATGTTTGAGCTACTGAATAAACGAGACTAGACATTGAGCGACCCTCGCGAATTTACAAGGCTGACGTGCCACATGCAGCTGCCACATGCAGCGCTGGCTGCTTGCTATGCTTATTTGCGGATGCTCGCATGTTGCACTTTATGTGCCATGCCTGTGGGATGATGAGCTCTGCGTATGTTGACTGAGCTGCAACAGCAGCCGAGAGAGCTTAGGGCTGCTCCTATATGAAGGACTACGCAATCCTTTGTCCCATGCCACAGCGATTGAAGAGTCATAGCAATGACCTTAGCTGCACTTGGCTGCTTTTGCAGCAGCAAGAAATCGACCTCAGCATAAAGTATAAAATATGTAAAATACGAAAAACATGTCTAATAATGATTCTTCTTCTTCCTCCATTGCTCTCTTTGCAGGTGAGTAGACGTATGCGTATTTGGCATATTCAATTCCCAAACATCGCTCTCATGTGCACATGTACCCACTCCCATATAGTTGGTAAGTAGTCTAGCAGGGTTGGGATGGGCACTAAGCTCATCCAATAAAACACACACAGACGCTCGCTGGCACACACACTGGCACACCTGTGCACCACCAGTCACATTGACAGCCCATCGATTTTGCAGTCAAAGTCGGAAGTTAAAGTTTGAATACGATACTTCTCGCTCTCTTCTCGATTCTTTTGCGTTAAGTTCTGCGTTTGCCGGTCGCGTTCCATTTGCCAATGTGGAGCACGTACTCAATCTTCTGGCTTGTCAAACTTCCCAATGTTTGCAGCCAAAATATCAAAAAGAAAGAAAAAATATAGAAATAAATAGGAATTTTGTTTGATGTTGCTCTCAATTGTGGGCGGCTGCAGTTGCTTATGTGACTGCTGCTGCTAGTGACGGGTTCTGGGTTTAGCAAATGTCAGCTTGTCTTGTATATTGATATACAAGTATGTTATATACATTTGTATACACAGGCACACACACACACGCATTACACCACATACGGCTACTTACCAAAATAGATTCGAGTTGTGGGTTTGTGCGCTGCTGTGCAACACGTGCTGTTGATATTACATGAAAAACAACGATGATATCATACTGTTATCGATTGGTTATCGAAGGCATTGATTGTCATATTGTTGAGTAACTTTTGGCGGAGTTGAATTTGCATTGGAATTGGCAGCAAACATAGCAGAAAGAGGAGTTGCACAGCTCTCAGTTCTAAGAGCAGCATTTACCATGAAGTAGCGTAGCTTAAAGTAGATGATAAGACCATGATAAAGTTAAAAAGCAATCTGAGGTGCTTGAACATTTTACCAGCAGCATTTAGCATGAGGTAGCGAATGGTAAACTAAGAGCTGCTCTGTTCATAACGAATGCTAAACTAGATGATCAAATAATGCATGCAAATACAGATAAAATTCAGTCTACATTGTAAATGTTACCAGCAGCATTTACCATGAGCTAATAAATTGTTAACCAGATGCATTAAATTAAAGATCAAATCCCATTAGTGTTAACAAACTTTGTGATAAACTCTACCTAGCTTTAAATAGATCAACAGTTGCCAGCACAATTTATCATAAGAATGCGAATGGTAAGCTAGATGGTAAAATAATGCATTAAAGTAGAGAATAAATTCAATAACAGCCATCAAACTTGTAGCAGAAAGCTGTCTAGCTGTAACTTAAGTAACTGGACCTTAAATCTTAGCAGCAGCATTTGCCATGTGTTAGAAAAGGGTAAACTTAATGCTTAAACAATAAAGACTAACAATATATTGAAATATGAGCAAAATAGTTGAAAACACAGACAGTACATGCTCGTGTCACGCGTACGGCGGAAATAGTATTAAATTCATATGATTCTATTAGTAAAACAAACAAAAGCAAAAGCACAGGCACACACACTCTTAACATACCAGGACATGCACACACACTCAGCTCTACATACATATTTATATACATGTATATATATATATATAGAAATATATATGTGTATTTCTATTTATATATATAGAGTATTGTGTATACATATCCAGCCACTCACGTACCTCTTGAGCTCTTACTCAGCATCGTTTGCTCGGCTCTCTGTGCCATAACGAAATTACGAAGTTCCTAACTAAACAAGTTGCCAATACATAATAATGCACACAGTCCAACCAACAATGGGGCTGGGCTGGGCTGAGCTGGGACAGATGCGGATGGATGGCTAGAGTAAGCCAGGAGGAGCTTTTTTATTCGTAGCTGGACAAAAGAGACGTCAGCCGTTCCATTTGACTGATGTGTATGGTCACTAGCTGCCTCCCCTCTCTCTCTCTCTCTCTGTCTCTCTTTCTCTGCCTCTGTCTCTGTCTCACTGCAAACATGGCATTTGCAATGCTTTTTACAGCCGAGTTGCTCTAATAATTCAAATACACAATAAATAAACGTGCATCGGACTGCATTCAGCTATAAATGGAATACTGAGCACTTAGGCTCAGCTCCTGAGACGTTTGCGAATGCCAAAGGGAATGCGTTAAAAAAAAAACATCGAACCACATGTATACTTGCCTGGGTCAGAGTACTACAAAGCTGAGCTGCGAAGTGGGCACTAGGCGACTAGACGAGTATATTTCTAATTGCGAATCAATTCGTACTGCCAAGTATGAGTACTATGAGTACGCGTTCAATGGGCCTAGCTTTGCCTAAAAGTACTCATTAGAAAAGCTGGTTTATTAACTTCAAGTAGCTTCAACTCGAGCTCCAGATGCCCAAGTTCCTCGTATTTTCCTTTGAATACGTCAATTGGTTGCCTAGAAAATTGGCAAAGCTTACAACGACCAGCCTTGGGTCCTCTAAATATTGAGCTAATTTTTTATGTACGCCCACTTTGGGCATAGCAAAGCAGTACAAATAACTATGTCTTTCATGGCTTGAGCACTACAATCACCAAGTTATGCATTTGGAATACTGTTGACCTATTCTATTGGCCCATATAAATGATTTACTCTGATTAGTTGGCAAAACATCGATTTTTGAATTGCCTGCAACGCTTCGCTATATATAAACTAGCTCTACGATAGTGGACTCCATATAAATATGAAGGCTGTGGCAGAAGACTAAGACTAAGACTAAGACTAAGACTAAGACTAAGACTAAGACTAAGACTAAGACTAAGACTAAGACTAAGACTAAGACTAAGACTAAGACTAAGACTAAGACTAAGACTAAGACTAAGACTAAGACTAAGACTAAGACTAAGACTAAGACTAAGACTAAGACTAAGACTAAGACTAAGACTAAGACTAAGACTAAGACTAAGACTAAGACTAAGACTAAGACTAAGACTAAGACTAAGACTAAGACTAAGACTAAGACTAAGACTAAGACTAAGACTAGACTAAGACTAAGACTAAGACTAAGACTAAGACTAAGACTAAGACTAAGACTAGACTAAGACTAAGACTAAGACTAAGACTAAGACTAAGACTAAGACTAAGACTAAGACTAAGACTAAGACTAAGACTAAGACTAAGACTAAGACTAAGACTAAGACTAAGACTAAGACTAAGACTAAGACTAAGACTAAGACTAAGACTAAGACTAAGACTAAGACTAAGACTAAGACTAAGACTAAGACTAAGACTAAGACTAAGACTAAGACTAAGACTAAGACTAAGACTAAGACTAAGACTAAGACTAAGACTAAGACTAAGACTAAGACTAAGACTAAGACTAAGACTAAGACTAAGACTAAGACTAAGACTAAGACTAAGACTAAGACTAAGACTAAGACTAAGACTAAGACTAAGACTAAGACTAAGACTAAGACTAAGACTAAGACTAAGACTAAGACTAAGACTAAGACTAAGACTAAGACTAAGACTAAGACTAAGACTAAGACTAAGACTAAGACTAAGACTAAGACTAAGACTAAGACTAAGACTAAGACTAAGACTAAGACTAAGACTAAGACTAAGACTAAGACTAAGACTAAGACTAAGACTAAGACTAAGACTAAGACTAAGACTAAGACTAAGACTAAGACTAAGACTAAGACTAAGACTAAGACTAAGACTAAGACTAAGACTAAGACTAAGACTAAGACTAAGATTATGACTAAGACTAAGACAAAGACTAACAAAGCAAAGCAGTGCTCAGAGTTCGCGGTATCTGCTAGTCGGGCACTCCCTATTAGTTTCTCATTTGATATACTCGAGAATATGCCTTTGGTGCTTGCATATGCTAGTCTATATAATGTGGGAACTTGTTTTATATATTATACAGATATATATATCTATATTTATATATATTTAGCACTGCTCGTGTAATCACATTTGATGACTATTATTATGGCAATTACTTTGAAGTTTTTGGTACATAATTTATCATGTGAACATCTGCATATGTTGATACTCAGTGTTCTAGTTTCCCATTTCCCATTTCCCATTCGCCGTACGCCGTTTGCCGGCGCCCAGTTTCAGTTTTCCTTCGTCAGCTTTCAATTTTTTTTTGGCTGCTTGTCGTTGTTGCGCCGGGCTTATCAATTTGTTATTGGCTGGTAAACCTTTTAGCCGGGACATGTGCACAAATTTCCATTGTTTGGCTGTCGTAATTGAAAATTGATAAACGAAATACGATTTTGCATTTTGCACTGGCTGGTCGATCCCAAACCGTCAAAATAATTGTACTCAATACAAAGTCAATGCCCAAAAAGTGTTGCCTTCAACATGAATGTCTATTAAGATGACATTAACCCAGTTGCCAACTTTTAATGGTAAAAACTTTTTCTTTTCTTGGCTTATTGTTGTTGTTGTTGTTTTTTTTTAACTTCATTTGACGAAATAACATTTTTGTGATGAAATTTTATAGACTTTATCCAGACGAACTTTGGCGCTATATGCGCTTAGCCCGACTGACATTCATCTGCCATGTTCACTTTGTTGTTTAGTATTTTTCGCAGTATTTCTTAAATACTTTTCAAGAAAATTTACAAAATTCTCTAAGATTTCGATATGCAATTGCCACGATCTGTCTTAGTTTGATCTTTGACCTAAGGTTTTCCCTAATCCTCTGGTAACTTCTAAATGTTTTTCGAAGTATTTTTTAATTACTTTTCTTATGACATTCGAACATTTTGAAGTGCAATTGCCACGATCTGCCTCAGTTTTATCTTTAACTTCGGGTTTTCCCTAATCTCTCGATGTCGTCTGTTGAATTTAAATAAATTCTTGCCTGCAGCTTAATCAAACTGGGCTCGATTTCTGCTGGCACTCAGTTTATTATTTATGTTTAGTAATTATCGCTTATCTTTATGTTACTTTATGTTACCCTTGAGCTCGTTCGATTGCGACATGTTCAATATTTTAATTGAACGCGGGCTAATTAATTAATTGAAGTGAAATGAGCAATTGTTGCCGTTGCCTTTGCCTTTGCCTTTGCCTTTGCCTTTGCCTTTGCCTTTGGCTTTGCCTTTGTTGTTGCTGCTTTTTTGCAATTTGTTTCGTTGTCGTTCGATTTGCTTATGCTGCAATT